GGACAGGACTAATGAATTTGTAACCTGGTGCTTTAAGGGTATTTTCCTAAAACCTCTTACTGCACCTTGAGAGTTCTGGAAAATGAACTCTTCTCCAAATCGCTGCTAAAAAGAAGGCTTTGGGTGCAATAAGGGCTGCTATATTCTGATCTGAGATGCTGTACTTTCTGGATCATTTTTGAATACATAAAATGTACCTTTAGCTTCTCAGGATGTACCTTTAAAAAAAAAAAAGTATCTTGGAAGCTCAGTAAAAGTGCATTAAAATGTTTTGGAGATTTCCCTTTAGAAAGTCACCTGCATGCATTTAACTGCATGTAAATTAAAATTAAAGACAAGTAAGTTGAATGTTGACTGATTTCAGCTCTTTGTTTTAATGTTTTTGTCTCTGAACCTTGAACTAGTTGCTCGGTGTGCTCATAACAGCCTCTCAGTCAAATCTGACTGAAGGTTTTAGTCTCAGAGGATTGGGATGATGACTGGAACGCCGTTACTCATCGACCTTGTTTCCAAAACAAGCAGGCTGGGATGTGAGCCTCAGACTGGAAGAAAGAGGAGGTTTGTATACAGAATAAAAAGAGATGTTTTTGATTAAGCAGTTATATCTACATTACGACAGTGCCCCCTGGAGGCAGGAGGTAAATACCTGCTCAGGAGAGAATTGCATTTTAAATTCAAACACTCCAACTTTTATATCATAGAAAAGAAATATTTACATTTTGCATAATTAAAAATATCAAAAGTTTTTTTTTTTATTAAGTTGTACTCATTTTAGATTTTTCTGAGCTGTTAATAACTTTAATTTTAAAGAATTACTGTTCTAAAAACACCATTCTAAGCAGCTGTTGCCAAAAATTTTGCATATAAAAAGTAAAAAAAAACACCATTGGACTTTGTTTTTCAAATTTGGAGATGTTTCACTTCCCATCCAGGGAGCTTTTTAAATTCAAATAATAATTCCTGGATTGGAATCGAAACATCTTCAAACCTGGAAAACAAAATCCAGTGGGTTTTTTTTAAAACGTTTTGAACTTTTTTGAAATGACAAAGACCTGGATGACTAAAAATCTTCACCAACACATTTTTGAGTAAACTTTTCTCAGTGTCCATGTGTCTGAGACGTGGTTCAAATAAAAAAAAAAAGTAAACCCAAGTCTTCGTAGATTGGTTTTGCCTTTCGGTATTTCAGTCTGAATTCATTCATCTTATTTTCTCCTCAAACCCAGTCAGTTTCTATTTTTTTGCCTTGTCCAGAACTTCCTGTTTCTTGACATGCTTTTTAAAAGGTCTGTTCATTTCAAATCTATCTTTTTGAAGATATATTTACCATCATTTAACTATTTTAAACTATTTTAGCTATCGCAATTGTGGGAGGAGATGACAAAACAATCAGCTATTCTGTTGTCTTCTTTTTATTCCAAGGAGAGAACAGTTTCCTGGTCGGGTGCATAGAGATATGCATTAATAGCAAAGAGCTGAAACTGTTGGGGCTTATCAGGTAATTTACAGTCTATTTGAATTCCATTTGTTTCTACAGTGAGTTCATTTATTCAGAGGAAAAGCTCTTGATAAATGGACCAGTCTTTAACAGCCAGCAGTTCCTTCCTCCACATGGGATCAGTTTGTAAAAAAAAAAGCTCTACCTAAAGCTCCACATCTTATATTAATAAAATAAATATTTGAAAAGAAATATTGAAGAAATTCTGTCAATTAGAGCTGAAAAGAAAAACATATTCGCTCTTGAATGACTCCTGCTTGTCTTTTTCTTTTTCTCTTTAATGAACTTTCCTTTTGGGTAGATTTGCATCTCAGTTTCAGTTTCTTCTGCCGACTTCCACTGCCTTCCATAGGAGCTGACAAGTTCAGTTTAGGTATTTCATTAATTGTTTCTTAACCCTGTAATATCTGGAATAAAATGAGTTATTTTGTATCAAAGCTCCTACTGTGAGGAGACTCCAATGACCCAGGAGCATGATGGACGGGTGATTGACTTACATCTGACTTGGTATGCACCTGTCAGAACAGGCCTAGTTTTAGCTTAAAAACAGCAGCGCTCCAACAGGTGTCATCATCTTGGTGCTGGTGGCTGGCTTTATTGCCCATTCCATTCACCTGTCTAACTCTGTTAGGTTGCTCATTACCGCTAGTCTGATCCACCTGTTTCCAGCTCCTATTTATACTGTCTGTTTTCCTAACTTGACTCCGCCAGATGGATTTGCTCCGCATGTCCATCCGGAAACCTTCCGTTGAAGTAGTTTTGGGAAGGGGCGAATATACTGGTTAGCTGATTGGCCTATGTTGGTGATAGACGGGCCAAATAAACCAATCAGATCAACGAAGCTTATGACGTAACAGAGCGACGACGAAGAGGAGCCAATTGATAGATCAAACTCTTGCCGAAACCAGTCGTGAGAAGAGCAAAAACATCTTTTCCTCTGAGAAAAGCCTCCAGAGCAG